CTCTCTGGCTCTGCTGATCTTCCCGAGTTACAGTCCGTTCAGCAGGAGTTCCCCGTCACTGGAGGAGAGTTACGCTCCGTCCGGCGGTGAGGAACAACTATTATATATATATAATATCTCCATCCATAGGCTGATCACACATTAGGAGTGAAACCTACATTATGACAGAAGTTCCTGTAATGATATCCAAAGTATTGAACAGCCGTAATGCATAATCGCGCCACGCTTCTCCTGTGATGTGTTTAACGGGAAGAATAGAATAGGGAAATTTATGTTGTTTTAGAAAATTTTCTTCATTTTTGGATGAACTAATTCCTCAAGTGTGCATATTAATAATTTAATTTCCTTTTTTTAGTTAATTTAGCTCCTAAAATAAACCAAAAATAAAATAAAAAGTTTAGAATTAAACTAGTGAAAATAAACACAACAAAAGTTTAGAATTAAACTAGTCAAAATTAATGAAAAATAATATTACGTTTAGTATTAAACCAGTTAAAATAAATAGTAAAATTGAAAGTTTAGAGTGAAACTAGTTAATAAATAAAATTAAGTTTAGAATTAAACTAGTTAAATAAAAAAAATAATTAAAAGTTTAGAATTGAACTAGTTAAAATAAATTAAAAAAGTTTAGAATTAAACAAGTTAATAAATTAAATAACTAGTTAAAAATAAGCAATAAAATTAAGTTTAGTATTAAACTAGTTAAGATATAAAAAATGTAATTCAAAGTTTAGAAATAAACTAGTTAATAAATTAAATTAAAAGTTTAGAATTAACTTTTGATGATGATGATGATGATGATGATTATGATGATTGACTCCTGTAATGTGGTGTGTGTGTGTGTGTGTGTGTGCAGTCCTGTCCAGAAACATCCTGAATGACGCGGGCTCTCTGGCGCTCCTGGAGGATCCGCCGGTCCCAGATCCCACAGAACTGAAGCTGTCAGGCTCGGACTGGCCCTCAGATGCGCAGTCTCAGTCGCAGTCGCAGGCAGAAGAGCAGAGGAACGGCACCAGCGCAGACACACTCCTGTCTCTATCGGCTCCTGCAGACGCAGACACACTCCTGTCTGTGTCTCTAACGGCTCCTGCAAACGCAGACGCAGTCGCAGCCACGCAGACGCATGCAGACGAGATGTGACCCTCTGTTAGATACGGTTCTATGGAGTCAATTTTGTGCCATAATTAAAGGGGTGGTTGATTATAATTTCACTTTTCTAACTTCAGTTAGTGTGTAATGTTGCTGTTTGAGCATAAACAACATCTGCAAAGTTATGACGCTCAAAGTTCAAAGCAAAGGGAGATATTTTATTTTAAAGAAATTGCTTTTTAAGGACTACAACAAACGGCTGATTGAACTACATGACATTCCTCCCGGGTTAGTGACATCACCAACCCTAAAATTTACATAAACCCCGCCCCCAGGAACACGATTTATAGATTATCATGACAGAATTTGCTAATCAATGACTAGAAGATAAGCACACACACACACACACACAAGCTCTTGAAGCTCCGCCCCCTGTGCTGGGAACTGCAGCTCATTTGCATTTAAAGGGACAGACACTAAAACTACAATTTTGCTAACCCTCAAAAAGTGACAATTTTAACATGTTATATAAAAATATCTGTGGGGTATTTTGAGGTAAAACTTCACACACACTCACTCACACACACACACACACTCTGGGGACATCAGAGGCTTATTTTACTCCTTGTGAAAAGGGCATTATACACCCCCTTTAAACAAACAAATCCAGCATTTTGCAAACAAACTCGATCTGCTTTTAAAAAGGAAAACTCGACTCACAAACAAACAGAAAGCAATGTGGAAATACAAAGGAGTGACAAATATGTATTGTGTTTTACAAATATAAAGAATCATGAAACCCTCCTTTCAATTAAATTAAATGTTCTCATTAATTTATATAGAACGACAGAAATAGACTCGTTCAGTGTAAACATAATCACTAGTTTGGTCATTTCGCACGCGTCCGATGTAGAAGAAATGTAAAAAGCAATGCAGTTTGTTCTGCGAGTCGAGTTTTCCTTTGCAAAGCGGATCGAGTTTGTTTGCAAAATGCTGGATTTGTTTGTTTAATTATGGCACAAAATCCACTCCATACGGTCTGCATTATTTATTCTCACTGAACTCAGACACAGGTGTGTTCGAGCAGCCAGTGTCGTCTTCATCATCATCATCATCATGTGCTTTAGTGTGTCACAACACAGAGATTAATAATGTTTGATTTAGGGACATTTCTGTTTGTACGTTCAGTTTGTTTAGTACTGATTTGGTTGTCACTTGTGCTGCTTTTCATGGAAACTTGTTTCCGTCACAGAATTATAAAATAAAAAAGGTAATTGCGACTTTTTATCTCACAATTCTGACCTTTTTTCGCAATTGCAAGTTTATATCTGACTTTGCATTCCTCGCTCCGAGTGAGATCTAGATATCAGAGCTGAGTGAGTGTGAACGAATCTGATGTCAAACCGCTTCAGAATATCCATGTTTTACTGCTTCCAAAGCAAGGATTGGGTCTCTTCTTATTTTATTGTCTTCTGAATAAAAGTTACATTCATAATATGTTTTGTTGTTGTTGTTAATTTGAGCCATTAACCATTAAAGAAGGACAGAATTTAGTCCAGAAAACAGAGATGACACTCGATCCAGAATGTTCTTCTCTGGTCATCACAGTGTCCGTGACGTCACCCGCAGGTCTTTGATGAGCATTTTTGAAGCCTAAGTGGGCGGAGTCGGCCGTCGCCATCTTGGTAGCGCGTCACTCCCACATAACAGAAACTTGTTAAAGAGGCGGGGCGTGGGAGGAGCCTGGTGTTGAGACCACGCCCCTAGCTCTACTTGATTGTTATATTGCTATATGCTACTATACTACTACTAATAAAATTTAATTAGTTTAATGTTTTTGTTGTTTTGACCCATTATTCAAATATATAAGCTACAAAATTTTAGATAGGCCTACCAGTGAGATTTTCAATACCACAGCAAAACTACTATAATCAAAGATTTTACTACAGTCAACTATAAAGTTCAAATGTTATATAAAAATAAAATAACATATAAACTTAATTGCAAGCAATGGCCAAAACAAATTCAATTGAACAAAGATGAAACAGATTAAATAAACACAGCTTTAAGACTTCCAGGTCTAACAGTATTTACGTTCAGATATCGAATAATCAAATGTAAAATAACAGCATTTTATTCCGGGATGATTTTTGGGGTACAAATATAATTTATTCTGATCTGAAGCAATATTCACAGTGTATCAGCTTTTTACATACTTAAATATGCTGCATATTTGTGATATTTACCACAGGTCGTACTCGTAAGATTATCTTCTGTGAGATTATTGTGAGATTATTCGATGTATCCACGAAAGAAAGTCTCTCAGCGCGAGAAATACACTATCCATGACCAATCGCTGTAAACACTGAATAGCTAAGACAATCAGAATCATTCTCGCGTTACGATCATAGACTGTAAAAAAATAGGTTACGATGCTTCCCTAGTTATTTTAAGATACTTGTCTGGCCGGGCAAGTCTAATCCTATTAATTGCCTCTTAAAAAACAACAACAACAAAAACTTGTCCCGGACAAGCAAACAAGCATTAATGTCGAGCCCTGAAATGCAAAGTTAACCAGAGTTAACCGTTGTTAAATGTTGATCAATTTAAAGACTTCAAGTGATAAAATAAATAAATAATAGGTTCCTTATCATCTGACATTTTCCTTTTTCTGCTCTGCGCCCCAGAACGCGTCCCACATCTGTCCATTTTTGGTCATGGGACAAACAAAAGGTAAATAAAAACGTTTCCTTTCATACTTTTTTAACAAACAATTTTTGATTATTTATAAAGTTGTATTAAAGATAAGATTTTCAAATAATTATTGTGCCACAGTGGCGCCCCCTCCCGTCCGGCCGCCTCATGCGCTGCGTGCGTCTCCTGCGCCACTGTGTCTTATCACATACACTATCCATACAATATATTTCCCTTAATTCCCAGCCATTGGATCGATTGATATATTTTTTATAGTTATTTTGAATTTGTCAATTATTTGAAATATCTGGCACTTCAAATGATTTATTAGCTTATTCTTTAACTAGAAAATGAAAGTTAATCAAAACAAGCCTTGAATGTTGACTTTAGTATTCTTTAAAAAACCCAAATCTGAACCTAAATACATTTTATATACATGTATATATTTAACAATACTTTTGTACATATTTGTCCCGTCTCTTGAACGCGCACTTTGATTTAGCGAAACTGCGTGTGCGCGCGCTGAGCTCATCACCGGAAGTTGTGCGCGAGAATTCACGGAGCGGTAAAATAACGGCAGAACGGATTTTCTGTGGGATAAACGCACCGGCGTCGCTGCTAAAGCGGTAAATATCGTTATTATATTGATTATGTGAACAGACTGAGGTCCTGAAGGTCGCAGTGGCGGGTTTATCTGTGTATGTTTGCGGCTGTTAGCTCGATGGGCTAACCGCTACTGAGGAGAACACAGAAATCAGCTAATTATATACACACATATAACAATAATAACACACACATATACAGTATGTATACTAACATATAGCTTATGTATGTTTAGTATATATTCTAACAAAAAAAATCTGGTTTAAACCTGTATGACTGGCTGACTCACTTCTGAGAAACACAAAAGAAGATATTCTTTCATTCTGTTCATTATCATAATCGTGTTATTATTTCCCTGTTTAAGTTGTTCAGACACAGAATCACTTTGGCCGGATTTAAGCTGGGTCAGTTGCATAACCCAACAGTATATGTGAAGATTGTGCTCTGAGAACTAGCCTGGCTGTGTGTTATTATTATTGTGCAAAATTCTTTATACTTATTAAGACAAATTTATCACAAAGATCAGGAGTTATATGTTAGTTCATTAAGATGCATGATTATTAACATAAGAATGCCATTGAGTTATTGAGATTGTTGGAAATAGTAGGGTTTGAACGTTTTATCTTTTATTTAGTTAGTTTTTCAATACAATTATTTAATGTATGGAAATGTTTGTGTGACAATGTCCAGATTCACCAGGCTCAGATTGTGAGAGAATGGTTGGGAAGAGCATGAAATTCATTCCTTAAATTCGTTGAAAGTCTGTGTGATGTTCTGGAGGAGAGACTGAGCTGGGCCTGGACCACGGTGGTAGTTCAACAAACTCAGGGTTACAGGATTAGTTTTGAGTTTACCACACCAAGCCAACCGGGCCTTGCTGGTACTGGTACCGTCCATGATGCCGATCATCAGCTCTGGCTTTGATCCTGAGTTTAGGTGTGACGTCAGTAGCGAACAGCCAATCGCAAGTTTTTAATATGACAGTCAGCCACCATTTAAATGTTTATATTTCATAATTCATATAACTTTATTATTATACAAATAAATAAAAGTGTAATTTAAGTGTTTGTATAGAAATCAGTTAATTTTTACCTTCAATATTATAGGCGGCTAATGAAAAATTTGCCATGTATTGTACCTGATATCCGAAGTAATCAATATTGAATGGGATCGGAATTGAATTTGAAGCTTGTGAATCGAAATCGAATCGAATTGTGAAATTTGTGTCAATACCCAGCTCTAGTAATTATATCACTTTTATATATTTTTTTCCTTTAAACTGTGCGTGAAAATAATTGATAAACTAAAATTGTTAGTGTGGTCGATTAATAATTACATAAATAATATCTAAATCATACAACATTATTATTCCATATAAATGTTTCTAAAAGCCAGACGATTTTGTCTTTAACAATCATTTGCTATGTCGTCACCTTTAATGGGGGGAGTGGCTTAAACAGGGGGAGTGGCTTCATCCTTTGCTCACAGCTGATTGGTCCAGGTTTGGTTTGAGATCTCTGACCTGCAGCATCACCTGACCCGGACCCGTTAGGCGTGGAGCGGGAGTTACTATGGCGATGAACACTGCTAGCTAAACTGGAACGCACTCTAGCCAGCTGAACGGCTCCACGGTTCAGGCCCCGGACGCTTGCACTGTCAACACACGATCTTGACCGAAAACTGATGCGTTTCTTAATGAAAATAACATCACAACATTTTTCGGTCAAGATCATGCTGGAATATGGCCAGAACATCATGGGTGTTTAAAGGTACAATATGTAAGAATTTTGTAATAAAATATCCAAAAATCACTTGCACAGAGTGATATATTTCCTGCAGTGGTGTACTTACAATATCCCAAAAGTCTCCAAAGATTTTTTATTTCAGAGAAATTCCTATTTTTCAATAGTGGCTGTCCCGGAAAAAAATGTCACCTGTCAACGACTCAATATCCGCGCTATCCTCGGTTTCCGCTCGTACTGCCATAGCCGTGACGTAACCATGGCGACAGACGCGGACAACTGCGCAGTGCGTAACGTTTAGCGGCTCGCAGTTCTCGTTTCTTTCAAACATAGACTATGACCAGGAGAACTAAAATGAGGATCAATATCAGCGTGGCGTTTGTGAGATGCCGAGAGCTAGCGTCCGCGGCTAACTCGGACTCGACAGAGCTTCACGAGTCACGACAGCTTTATTAGACAGGTGAGCAAATGTACATAAAACAAATCAATGTTATATAACGTTAGCTCAACATGATGAAATGTTAGAATATGGTCAGTATGTTATACTAATGTTGATCTAGCTCGCTGCTAGTTTCGTGTAGCTAACGAACTAACACGTAGTATAACATTATAACTTTCAACACACATTTAAATGCCGTTTAGTGTGATAGTGTAACGTTAGACCGAGTGAAGCAGCGCTGCGTTACCTCACTAGTTTAATTGGTCTAATAAACTGACCTGTGTGAGTAATCCAGCACTCGCGGGTTCGGTAGAATTAAATGTCCTTATTCCTCTATATCCGCGGGACTCGCGTGTGATATGTCTCTTTAGCAATCGCGACCTGCTTCATACCACTGCAATGTTTAAAAACATGAATGTTTGCACTCATCCATAAACACTATTAGATCCATCAGCTTGACAGCAAGTCCCATCATTCAGCTCATCACTGCGTCATCAACCTACGCCTGTGTTATTGTTGGACACTGCGCCCTCTTGTGGCGGAAATCTTACATATTGTGCCTTTAAGACATGAAAAGCTACACACTTTATCAGTTCGGATTGAAGAACTGCTGCTAACACCGCAATAATGGTCCGGTCATAGACCGGTGTTTGGCCGGGCAGTGTTTATTGTTATATAAGTTCTGCTCATTTCTGACATGCAAGTTTCTATTGTGTTTTGCCTCATTTGTTGTATATTATTGATACATATAAAAAAGTTGGTCAAGAGAAAATCACTTTTACCGTCTCAAATTAGACCAGTTTTTTTGCAACTGACTTGTTGTTGCCAGACTTCTGTGAGACTTGTAAGACTAGTCCAGGCGGTTTGGCAACTGGCGTGACGATTACACATGATTTCTTAGTTTTCTTTATCCGGCACATCATCAGGACAGCGACAGTAACACACTTGATCTGCTGAACTGGGGTGTGTTTCCCGTATAACGCTGTACTCGTGCTTCACTATCAGTGCGGTGCGTCGCTGGAGAAAACAACTATAGTCACGACTGTTTCCTGAAACCGTACTGTCACAAATTGGTCATTCAACCACATGTTAATGATGTCAGTCAGGTTATGGAGTAATAACTACTGTTAATGAATCTGTTTGAGATCGAATTAACGCGAGATGTTTTGATATAAATCACGATCATGGCATCTGAGGACTATCTCATTTTTCTCAGTTATTTTGCTTTATTCCCAGATTCACTCATAGGCTCGTTCACACACACTAGAGCTAGATGTGTAGATGATCAGTGTGTGTGTGTGTGTGTGTGTGTAAATGATCAGTGTGTGTTGTGTGCAGATGCCTCACTCCCGGCGATACCCGTCGTCTGAGCGGAGTCGCAGTGGGAATCATCATGTTCGTTACGAGCGGCACCGGCGGAGGCGCCGCACACGCAGCCGCTCCTCGTCCTCCAGCGCCCAGCGGGACCGCAGCCGCAGACGGAACCGCGAGAGACGCCAGCGCTCCAGGAGGTACCGCTCCGGCCCGGGGATCACACACACACACACACTCCTTCAGTCAGAGCCAGTCCTTCTCCTCCGTGAGTGCTTCACACACACAGACGCCAGCGCTCCAGGAGGTACCGCTCCGGCCCGGGGATCACACACACACACACACACACACACACACACACACACACACACACACACACACACACACACTCCTTCAGTCAGAGCCAGTCCTTCTCCATGAGTGCTTCACACACACAGACACCAGCGCTCCAGGAGGTACCGCTCCGGCCCGGGGATCACACACACACACACACACACACACACACACACACACTCCTTCAGTCAGAGCCAGTCCTTCTCCATGAGTGCTTCACACACACAGACACCAGCGCTCCAGGAGGTACCGCTCCGGCCCGGGGATCACACACACACACACACACACACACACACACACACACTCCTTCAGTCAGAGCCAGTCCTTCTCCTCCGTGAGTGCTTCACACACACAGACGCCAGCGCTCCAGGAGGTACCGCTCCGGCCCGGGGATCGCACACACACACACACACACACACACACACACACACACACACACACACACACACACACACACACACACTCCTTCAGTCAGAGCCAGTCCTTCTCCTCCGTGAGTGCTTCACACACACAGACGCCAGCGCTCCAGGAGGTACCGCTCCGGCCCGGGATCGCACACCTGTCATCACATTAATGTTTCTATTCCTCTTATCGATTCCTCTGTGTGTATTTCAGCATGAGTGTAAAGCGCTGGAGCGAGAGACTCTGTGTTCTGCTCGTGTGTGTCAGTGTACTGGACCCGCAGCTCTTAAAGTGACAGCGCTCATATTCCTCCGTCTCTATAATAACTCTAATCACACATAGGGCTGGGCAAAAAAATCGATTTTTCGATTAATCGTTTTTTTAAATGTGGTCGATTCAAAATCGATTCTCAACGGCCACGAATCGATTTTTTCCATATTCAGGGCTCGCGGTGCTGCGTCTTCTCACTCAGCACAAGGCAAGCGTCAAGCGCTGCAGGCGTCGATACACACTCGTGTTTAGGAGTCGGGACATGATTCACTTGCACAATCGGGCCAGCATTGCATCGTAACTAACGTTTATCATTTTCACGTCTTTTTTCAAGCAATTTTAAACTATCCTCAGACATTCTCTGCTATCCTGTGCTCGCGCACTCGTGCATGTTTTTCATTGCGTGCAGCCTAAATCCGCCTCACAACAAACAGCTCGCCAGTAACAAAAGTTCTTTTTCGTGGATTATATCGCTTTAACAGTTAAAAACACGCAAAATGATGTCAAAACTCTGGTCTTGGTGAGTAACCTCGTAAAGACAGTCTTAAATAAGCATAATCGCGTGTGACAGACAGTATAATGAAACAGTAATGGATCCGTGCACTAGCTCTTAAAGTAACAACAGGTAACTTTTCAACCTTCATAATATATTTCCAAGTCTCTTGTGATGGTACATCGACTTACAATAGGTTGAATGACACGTCTGCCATAGCCTGACGGGGTCTGTAGCGTTTTTAATCGTACTTTTAAACTTCGGGTTTCGGGTAGTAACCGGCGAACAAAGAGAACTACAAAATTCGACTGCTTTACGGCATATACGTCACTTCCACCACCACCCCCACTTCCTTAAAATCGGACTTGCGAGCCAAATGCAGGGTTCTCAAGTTTTATCAAAAGCTTGGAGTGAGATCACATGCGGGCAGGGGAGGGGCCTAAATGGAGCCCCGCCCCCGCCTAACCCCGCCCCCAATTTTACCCATTGTTCATAATTAACCAGCAAAAATTGAAATTATAACAATTGGTAAATCTGATAAATGACAGAGCAATTCATCACATCAAATATAGGCCTACTCTTTAATGTTATATTTCAAAATTAGGCTACAAATATATAACAAATTGCTCCAAAATGTTTGGAAAAACATATATTTTTGCATTTTTCCCTGACATCTTTGAAAAATACAAATGCAATGGCAATGATTAGGCTAATGTATGTTTTGACAGGATATACAATATTACCAAGAGCGCTCTGCTTTAGCCTTAATGTAACTAGAAATACTATTAATACAGTATAATATAGAATTTAAAATAAACTGAAGAAATACATCTTCATTCTTTCCCATACCCAATAACATTTCCTTAGCCAAACTGAGCCAAAGCTTTCGGCCTGGTTGCAAAGCAGTTGTAGAGTTTTTGACTGCATCAATAATGTACGATGGGCTATATTAAATGTTCTAGTCTAAAAATGTTAGGCGAGCTTTCTTCCAACTTACTTTCTCCATCACGACGTGTGTTCGCGCGATGTCGCGGTGGCCGAACTTCCGTGTGTGTTCGCGGACTTCGCGCGTCTATAAGTTGCCTAGTAACGAACGCAATCTGGCCGAGATGCGGACGCGCTGGCGGCAGGAAACTTATCTTTGTGTGCATGGCATGCGCCTCGTATACAACGTTATATATAAAGCTTGCAGGACAACTTGGTTGGCATTGCCTTTTCAGCGTGCGTGAGATATACAAGGTGTGGCGTGTGAGCGTGTGAACTGGTTGAATTGCGTGTGTCTCACGGCCAATGCGTGAGACTTGAGAACCCTGTCAAATGTTATAGTCATGGCCGAAGCAGCACAGAAAAACAAGAAAGCAAAGGTTTTATCGGAGCAAAGCAAAAAGAGAAAAAGAGAAAGTGATCGCGTTAAAGGCAGAACGAGGATCAACATTGCAGAGCTGCCAACTCTCACGCATTGGCCGTGAGACACCCGCATTTGATTGGTTTCACACGCCACACCCCCGGTTTCTCACGCTAAATTGTCAACCCGGTCGGTCAAATGCCTGAAAGATGAGTTTATCTATAGATCTACCTGTTGAGCCACTCGTGATCGACAAGTTATACCGCAAATTAGTTCAAATCTCCCGGAATCTAGAGCGAGCGCGCACGCGAGACAGAGACTGTGCTCCAACGCGCGCGGACGGCAGAGAGAGAAAGCGAGCGAGAGACCTTGCGTGTGCAGGGAGCATCGAACCCCACATCGAAAAAAGAATGCCTCTCTCTAACCTCTCTAATTCGCTACAGTAGTAGCGAATTATCAATCTGGTAGCTAGTAAACGATATTCTAGTTTTTGATGGTTAGCTATCGCTAGTATTCTCGTTCTGATTTGAACTTTGCAATCGATGAAATGCAAATAGCAAATGTTTGACCTAAAAAGTGTAGTCTACTCAACATGTACAAAGAAAGGAGGAAGATTATTAATAAAATCATATTTTAGGATACCTAACATGTCTGTGATATTTGTTTATTTGTCTTGCCTCAAGCTATAATGCAAATCGATTTGTAAAATTTCCAGATTCATTTATGGTAGCTTGATATTATAATATTGACGATATATGGTTATTATCAACCACTCAAACATTGCATTGAAGTATCATATAGATTCAGTAAAACGGTAACCAATAGACTAGGCTACTAAATGACGCTGGCTTGTAAACGTGAGCATCGCGATCATTTGTCGTTAGAAAAAAAAATAAAACCCATGAAATTATATTCATATGACATGCTGAAATATATGCCACTGTACCTGGGATGAAGACATTTCACACGCGACGCAGAACACCTGCATGTGACCTCCTCCTACAGTGTTCAGGGCTATCATGGTTGTCAACAATTGCACGTGCATGTAGGATGACAGAGTTTACGACAGTAGTAGAGGACAATACTGTTTCCCAACTGTAGGGGGACCCCGAGAGCAAAAGCTATCTGTTGTTACTTTAAAGTGAACGCATCCATATGTGTCTGTCATTAATTTTGTTGTCAAAACAACATAATATAGCATTAATTGTAAGGAATCATAATTAATAGCCTATGTATTTAATTCAGTCAGGACTAAAAGACTATCCAGTGTTATTTTACATTGGATTACTTAATTCAGTTTCTGTAGTATTTCTGACCTACCCAAAAACTTTTCTTTTTATGTCTCTTTATTTGTGTCTTTATTCTATTGTATTTATTTGTGCTACTTTTTTCAATTTAATTCAAAGATTGAAATCAAGCTTCCATGTGTTGCATAAACTCTAAACAAAAAAATTACCCCATTGTAAAAACAAACATTTAGGTGAGATCAATGTAATAAAAAATTGTCTAAAAAATGATAACTGATATTTAGACTGAGATTTGTATTACATCTATATTCATTATAGTCGAATCAAGAATCGAAATTGAATCGAGAATCGAAATCGAATCGAACTGTGAGCTTGTGAATCGAAATCGAATCGAATTTGAACATCTGAATCGATACCCAGCCCTAATCACACAACACAAGACTGAGAACACACACTCGCTCTTCACTGAATTACTTCTGTAACTATATCTGTAGTGTATATTTTATTCCTAAACTGCTGTGTTATTTTACATTTGATTACAGTTTCTGAACCTGAAAATCTTAAAACACTGTTTATTTCACTCGTATCTTTGTTTAGTTGTGTCTATTTGTTACGATTGCTAATTATTTATTTGTTCTTTTTTAATGACTGAGTGTTTATTGTCTTTAATAATGGTAGAAGTTTACATTAGTCCGGCTAGTTGTTCTTCTATGTGTTTTTAAACGCTCCTGTAAGAGTTCTTCAGCTGATGAGTTCTGCTCATGATGTTCAGCTGCAGTCACAGGTTCTGCAATAACACTAAATGTGAACGATATCTACGTTTTTTTTACCTTATTGGAATCGAAATTAGGAATCGATAAGAATCGCAATCGTTAAAAAAAAGTAGCACTCAACCCTAGTAGCACTCAATGATTGATACCTGCCAGATCACCTGTAGCGTGTGTGTGTGTGTGTGTGATCCTCCAGTTATGACGACCACAGGCTGAGCAGCAGACGCTACTGTCGCGGCGAGCGCGAGGAGTTTGTCGAGAACGGCTTCTTCCGACACACACACTTCTCCCGTCGCTCTCACGACTTCCGTTCGGATCGGGATCCCGGAGCGGATCAGAGGAGCAGTCGACGCGTGCGCAGACACCGCAGAACCAGGACCCGCTCCAGAACACACTCCTTCAGTCAGAGCCGGTCCTTCTCCTCCGTGAGTGCCCCACACACACACACACACACACACACACACACACACACACACACACACTCCTTCAGTCAGAGCCGGTCCTTCTCCTCCGTGAGTGCCACACACACACACACACACACACACACACACACACACACTCCTTCAGTCAGAGCCGGTCCTTCTCCTCCGTGAGTGCCGCACACACACACACACACACACACACACACACACACACACACACACTCCTTCAGTCAGAGCCGGTCCTTCTCCTCCGTGAGTGCCGCACACACACACACACACACACACACTCCTTCAGTCAGAGCCGGTCCTTCTCCTCCGTGAGTGCCACACACACACACACACACACACACACACACACACTCCTTCAGTCAGAGCCGGTCCTTCTCCTCCGTGAGTGCCGCACACACACACACACACACACACACTCCTTCAGTCAGAGCCGGTCCTTCTCCTCCGTGAGTGCCACACACACACACACACACACACACACACACACACACACTCCTTCAGTCAGAGCCGGTCCTTCTCCTCCGTGAGTGCCGCACACACACACACACACACACACACTCCTTCAGTCAGAGCCGGTCCTTCTCCTCCGTGAGTGCCACACACACACACACACACACACACACACTCCTTCAGTCAGAGCCGGTCCTTCTCCTCCGTGAGTGCCACACACACACACACACACACACACACACTCCTTCAGTCAGAGCCGGTCCTTCTCCTCCGTGAGTGCCGCACACACACACACACACACACACACACACACACACACTCCTTCAGTCAGAGCCGGTCCTTCTCCTCCGTGAGTGCCGCACACACACACACACACACACACACTCCTTCAGTCAGATCCGGTCCTTCTCCTCCGTGAGTGCCACACACACACACACACACACACACACACACACACACACTCCTTCAGTCAGAGCCGGTCCTTCTCCTCCTTACATGGTCCTGCTCTTGTCATGTTTCTGTGGTGTGTTTACATGCGGTGAGTTTATTCAGTCCCAAATGAATCCAATTAGGGATGAATCCAAATGAAAATTCTTGGCCGAAGCCGAATACCGAACGCAGTGTTTCGCTTTTTTTTCCATTTATTTTGCATATTTTTTAACCATTGCATGAATGTGAAATATGCTTTTTACTATTTTGTCTTGCTTTTCAGAGAGAAAAATCTAATTGCAAAAATACAATTTAAAAATATTTATTTAACACTGATTTTCTTTAACATTCCAGCAGATATCATACAAAGAAAGCACAATATAACTTAAATTAAATAAACTGTAATAAAATTAGCATTTCTCTGGAAATGTTATATCGCAAGAAATATCGTTATCGCAATACTCAACAACAATATCGCATATTTTCCCAGTATAGTGCAGCCCTAGTGTGTGGTGGGTAGGTTTTTGGGGTCGTGTGTGTGTGTGATGGGTAGGTTTAGGGGTGTGTGTGTGTGTGTGGGTCTCAGGATTTCCCCTGGGGCCCGTCAGGAACGTTTAAAATTAGCCCAAGTCTCATCTCTCTCTCTTTTTCACACAAACACACACACACACACACACACACACACACACACACTTGAAGATTCTCTCCTGTCCCTCTCTTTCTCTCTCTTTCTCTCTCTTTCTCTCTCTCTCTCTCTCTCTCTCTCTCTCTCTCTCTCTCTCTCTCTCTCTCTCTCTCTCTCTCTCTCTCTCTCTCTCTCTCTCTCTCTCTCTCTCTCTCTCTGTCAGTCAGATGTAGGCTAAGTGTGTGTATTTGACTGGAGTTATGGGTAAAGCAGAGTTGTCCTCGGTGTTTAAGAGCCTCCTGGACTGCCTCTGCCTGTGTGTGAGTATCCTTCACACTGCGTGTCTGTGTGTGTGTTTAGTAGTTGTGTGTTTGGGTGCTAAACATTCTCGTGCAGTGAGCAAATCTGATAAAACCTTCTTTAGTGACGAAATTATATATTAAAGTATATATTATATATTAAACCAAATGTTTTTGCAGTGTTTTTCTCATATTTGTGTTAGGCAACATCATGATGAACTTTATATGAAAGGTCTGCGAGACGATGAGTGTGTTTTCCTGTTAGGATGTTTTAATGTGAGTTTTACATTCACATCATTATAATGTCAAGTGTGTGTGTGTGTGATGGGTAGGTTTAGGGGTTGGGTTAGTGTGTGTGTGTATGCGCTTGACCTCCTTCTCAAGTGTCTGCTGGGCTCGTCATGTTTGTGTCGTATCTGGAGTCACTGTGTTCTTGATTAAGACAGACGAGGTGTCCAATTAAAGAGAAGCGCACAGCTTCGTGTCTCCGCATGTGTGACAGCCCATAATAAACGGTCATGTTTAATGTTAAGTTAAACTAGTGTAGTTGAATGAGTTGGTTGAACCAGTGAACTCAGTTTGTTTTGATATCTGCACGAGAACACACCAGCGTTCATGTTTACACACACTGAGGCACGAGGCTGATTATTGTTTGCCATTATTGAAAGCAAATGAACTACTGAACGTTTGTGGTTTTTACACCAAAAGCCACTTACCAGAGCTTGATGTTTAAAGGCACACTGTGGAATTTTGGCCACTAGGGTGCGCTCGACCTGTAATTTTCACGTCTAGTGCCCCCAGAGGCCACAAGCGCCGCAGCATTGTCGCAAAAGTCAACAAACAGTCAACCGGTCAACCTCCCGTGTATAAAATAATAATATAATATAAGATTAATAATATAAATCCTATAAAGAAAACAAATTGAATAAAAGTAGCATACGCAGAAAACAATGTCTGATCAGGTAAGTCGCATTGACAAGGGTTGCCCAATCCTGCTCCTGCCGATCGTCTGTCCTGCACAGTTCATCTCCAACCCTAATCAAACACACCTGAAGCAAACAATTAACGTCTTCAGGATCAGAAAGGAAAAAAAAACATTTACATTTGTATACGGCAGTATGTTGTGACTTATATCAGTTTTGTTACACGAATTCGCAGTAAATATTACATTAGATATACACTTTTATGCCGATGTTTATTTTAAACTCTCCCTTTTTCTTTTTTTGGTCTCCTCTGACAAAATCTTTGCTTTCTTCGCTTTCTTCCGAGTAGCTGTTGATTCAGTCATGACGACAACATACAGACGCCGGCAGTCAAACGCGAGTTGAGCTCTCACGTTAGAATCTGAGGAAGTTGGGGTGGTGGGGGAAGTGACGTATGCCGTAAAGCGGTCGAATTTTGTAGTTCTTTTTGTGCTCGGGTTCCTACCCGAAACCCGAAGTTACATAGTGCTGGTAAAAGCGATACAGACACCTTCAGGCTTCGGCAGACGTGTCATTCAACCTATTGAAAGTCGATGTACCATCTCAATGGGTTTTGGTAATATATTATAAAGGTTGAAAAGTTCCACAGTGTGCCTTTAAGTTCAGTGAATGCAGACTGCCATCATGTGCGATGAGTAAAGGGGCTTTAATGAAATCTGCCTTTCACCAGAACATGTCAGGGCTGTCTTATAAACACCTCAGGAACTGTGGACACTTGTGGAAGAGTTCAACATGATGAGGAGATGATCAGTGTAACTCCACAACAACTACAGAAATGTCTCCGCTAACATTCAGAAACGTGTAAAAGTGAAGCTCTCCCTGAGTCTCTCCGTAAGGCTGCACTCGCTGCTGTTACTCCTGACTCTGGATCAGTGAGATCGGCCTGTGTTGTTATTGCCGGAGTCTCTGAAGCTCCGCCCTCTTCTGAACGGAGGCGGAGCTAAAGCTCATTTGCATTTAAAGGGACTAGGGCTGAAACGATTCAACGATTAACTCGATTACAAAAATTCCTCAAGGCAAAAACTCTGTCTCGAAGCCTCGTTGAATTCCTATGACGCGCACTATACGCGCAGTTCTATACTATAGCGCGTGATACATTTTCAATTTTGCTGGCGCGATGGTGGAGAGTAAAGATGTCCATAAATGGTAGAGAATGTCTAAAGTTTGGCATCATTACATACTTAAAAAGGAAGAGAACAAGGTGCAATGTGTCTACTGCAAAGTAGACCTGGCATAGGCTACCACAACCGTACGACATCTGACCCGAACACATCCACTCCGTGCTGTCTCACCAAGCGTCGCTGAAACAAGGTAAACTAATGGTGTTCACACGAACGCGGATAGAGCGTCAAATACGCGTTTATCGCGTCTAGTTAGACGCTTGAACATTCGCTCGAGTTCAAATTTTTCAACTTGCGTGGAACACGTTCGCGGCAAACGCGACGCCCGGCGCCAATGATGCGTCTATTCGCGTCTTTGCATTGACTTTGTATGTAATCTACTCGCGCAAATAATTAAATTTGCGTTCGGTGTGAACACACCATAAGCCTATGATACATTGATGTTCGCTGATTTTAATCCCATACTGTATTTGTAGCGATGTCGGGATGCGGTTTGACTAGATATGATGTTTAGCTTTGATGTTTTTAAGTAGTAAACGTATTCACGTTCAATTGCAAGAGAGTATAGCCTAAAAAAGAACCCCTTCACACACACGCACACACACACACGCACCCTCGTCTCTCTCACGCGCCAGATCAATTGCGGCAATGCATCACATATGCTTAAACTTAAGCTTAAGCATGCCTTCACTGTAGGCTATACACCGCGACGTGACGGAGGAACATATGTTGTATTGCAGTCTTTGCGAGACCTTGTTTGTATGTCACGTCTTCCAAATAGTTACAGACAACAACAAATGAAACTCCCCAGCCTGCTTCTCCAAATCCACGCGTACTTTTGGGGAAGACATTTTAATCGGCTACCAAAGTAATTGAGCATAGAACATTGTTGGCACTTATAGCTACTAAATGGGTAAAAATTGCAATAAATGGGCGTAGTTTTGGAGCCAAATGTTGGAGTTGGAATAAATACCAGTTTTTTTTTTTATATAAATAAAAGCCAAATGCTTGATAATTTTACAGCCACATCATTTTCGTTATGCATTATGTGTTTTGGTTGTTTAAAAACACAAAAAATGTTTCATCCGATTACTCGATTAATCGATCGATTAAGTGCTAGATTAATCGATTACAAAAAGAATCGATAGCTGCAGCCCTAAAAGGGACACACACAAAAACGGCGTGTTTTTGCTCACACCCAAAAAGGGGCAAATTTGACACGCTATAATAAATGATCTGGTATTTTGAGCTGAGATTTCACACATTCTGGAGACGCCATAGATCGTGAAAAGCGGCGTGATGTCACCTGTAAGTGTGATGATGACTGAGTAGTGTCAGTTCTGTCAGCTATTTTTAAATTTAGTCTTCGTCATGTGTCAAATGTTGTTTTTATTATATTTAGGCTAACTATCTTTTTTTAGTTGACTTAATTTTTAAGATAAAGTAAAACATTTTTGTCATGGATCCGCAGAGAGATGTTCTCCTAGAGCGATATACTCCTAAACTCCGATGCGGTGTTGAGCAGGGCGGGCTCCTCCTCTGTGTGCTGGACTCAACCTTAAACCACATCAAAAATAAAGTAGCGTTTTTCCAGCTGCTCATGTTTAGATGAGGTTTGAGACGATGGTTTCAATGTATTGCCAACGCATCTCCAATCATCATACATGTACATACATAAAAATAAATAGATAAATAAATAGAAATAAGAAATATATATATTTTTTTTAAATATCAAAGTTAAGTAGAATTCTATGAACAATTTAGAATTCTGTGTGTGTGTGTGTGTGAGCGCATCACTGATTAGTCACTCCCTCTTTCTGTGACGGCATCAGTATATCTCACTGCTAGTAGATACAATCTCTTTATTCACCTAATAAATGTTGAAGTTGTATTTTATTGTTTAATTTTATGTAGTTAGGGCAAAGTATGATCTCTCTCTCTATCTCTCTCTCTCTCTATCTCTCTCTCTCTCTATCTCTCTCTCTATCTCTCTCTCTCCACAGCAGAGTTGCAGTCGTGTGCGCGGGTGGGCTGTTAAAGATGATGACGAGGGTCACCTGGTCTATCGGCCCGGTGACGTGCTTCAGGACAGATGTGCGTTTCTCATCTCTACACTCTCTATACTCTACACTCACTGTCACACTCATCTCTACACACTCTATACTCTACACTCACTGTCACACTCATCTCTACACACTCTATACTCTACACTCACTGTCACACTCATCTCTACACACTCTATACTCTACACTCACTGTCACACTCATCTCTACACACTCTATACTCTACACTCACTGTCACACTCATCTCTACACACTATACTCTACACTCACTGTCACACTCATCTCTACACACTCTATACTCTACACTCACTGTCACACTCATCTCTACACACTATACTCTACACTCACTGTCACACTCATCTCTACACACTCTATACTCTACACTCACTGTCACACTCATCTCTACACACTATACTCTACACTCACTGTCACACTCATCTCTACACACTCTATACTCTACACTCACTGTCACACTCATCTCTACACACTCTATACTCTACACTCACTGTCACACTCATCTCTACACACTCTATACTCTACACTCACTGTCACACTCATCTCTACACACTCTATACTCTACACTCACTGTCACACTCATCTCTACACACTCTATACTCTACACTCACTGTCACACTCATCTCTACACACTCTATACTCTACACTCACTGTCACACTCATCTCTACACACTATACTCTACACTCACTGTCACACTCATCTCTACACACTCTATACTCTACACTCACTGTCACACTCATCTCTACACACTATACTCTACACTCACTGTCACACTCATCTCTACACACTCTATACTCTACACTCACTGTCACACTCATCTCTACACACTCTATACTCTACACTCACTGTCACACTCATCTCTACACACTCTATACTCTACACTCACTGTCACACTCATCTCTACACACTCTATACTCTACACTCACTGTCACACTCATCTCTACACACTATACTCTACACTCACTGTCACACTCATCTCTACACACTCTATACTCTACACTCACTGTCACACTCATCTCTACACACTATACTCTACACTCACTGTCACACTCATCTCTACACACTCTATACTCTACACTCACTGTCACACTCATCTCTACACACTATACTCTACACTCACTGTCACACTCATCTCTACACACTCTATACTCTACACTCACTGTCACACTCATCTCTACACACTCTATACTCTACACTCACTGTCACACTCATCTCTACACACTCTATACTCTACACTCACTGTCACACTCATCTCTACACACTCTATACTCTACACTCACTGTCACACTCATCTCTACACACTCTATACTCTACACTCACTGTCACACTCATCTCTACACACTCTATACTCTACACTCACTGTCACACTCATCTCTACACACTATACTCTACACTCACTGTCACACTCATCTCTACACACTCTATACTCTACACTCACTGTCACACTCATCTCTACACACTATACTCTACACTCACTGTCACACTCATCTCTACACACTCTATACTCTACACTCACTGTCACACTCATCTCTACACACTCTATACTCTACACTCACTGTCACACTCATCTCTACACACTCTATACTCTACACTCACTGTCACACTCATCTCTACACACTCTATACTCTACACTCACTGTCACACTCATCTCTACACACTCTATACTCTACACTCACTGTCACACTCATCTCTACACACTCTATACTCTACATTCACTGTCACACTCATCTCTACACTCTCTATACTCTACACTCACTGTCACACTCATCTCTACACACTATACTCTACACTCACTGTCACACTCATCTCTACACACTCTATACTCTACACTCACTGTCACACTCATCTCTACACACTCTATACTCTACATTCACTGTCACACTCATCTCTACACACTCTATACTCTACACTCACTGTCACACTCATCTCTACACACTCTACTCTACACTCACTGTCACACTCATCTCTACACTCTCTATACTCTACACTCACTGTCACACTCATCTCTACACACTCTATACTCTACACTCACTGTCACACTCATCTCTACACACTATACTCTACACTCACTGTCACACTCATCTCTACACACTGTATACTCTACACTCACTGTCACACTCATCTCTACACACTCTATACTCTACACTCACTGTCACACTCATCTCTACACACTATACTCTACACTCACTGTCACACTCATCTCTACACACTCTGTACTCTACACTCACTGTCACACTCATCTCTACACACTCTATACTCTACATTTACTGTCACACTCATCTCTACACACTCTATACTCTACACTCACTGTCACACTCATCTCTACACACTCTATACTCTACACTCACTGTCACACTCATCTCTACACACTATACTCTACACTCACTGTCACACTCATCTCTACACACTCTATACTCTACACTCACTGTCACACTCATCTCTACACACTCTATACTCTACACTCACTGTCACACTCATCTCTACACACTCTATACTCTACACTCACTGTCACACTCATCTCTACACACTCTATACTCTACACTCACTGTCACACTCATCTCTACACACTCTATACTCTACATTTACTGTCACACTCATCTCTACACACTCTATACTCTACACTCACTGTCACACTCATCTCTACACACTCTATACTCTACATTCACTGTCACACTCATCTCTACACACTATACTCTACACTCACTGTCACACTCATCTCTACACACTCTGTACTCTACACTCACTGTCACACTCATCTCTACACACTCTATACTCTACATTTACTGTCACACTCATCTCTACTACACTCACTGTCACACTCATCTCTACACACTCTATACTCTACACTCACTGTCACACTCATCTCTACACACTATACTCTACACTCACTGTCACACTCATCTCTACACACTCTATACTCTACACTCACTGTCACACTCATCTCTACACACTCTATACTCTACACTCACTGTCACACTCATCTCTACACACTCTATACTCTACACTCACTGTCACACTCATCTCTACACACTCTATACTCTACACTCACTGTCACACTCATCTCTACACACTATACTCTACACTCACTGTCACACTCATCTCTACACACTCTATACTCTACACTCACTGTCACACTCATCTCTACACACTATACTCTACACTCACTGTCACACTCATCTCTACACACTCTATACTCTACACTCACTGTCACACTCATCTCTACACACTATACTCTACACTCACTGTCACACTCATCTCTACACACTCTATACTCTACACTCACTGTCACACTCATCTCTACACACTCTATACTCTACACTCACTGTCACACTCATCTCTACACACTCTATACTCTACACTCACTGTCACACTCATCTCTACACACTCTATACTCTACACTCACTGTCACACTCATCTCTACACACTCTATACTCTACACTCACTGTCACACTCATCTCTACACACTCTATACTCTACATTCACTGTCACACTCATCTCTACACTCTCTATACTCTACACTCACTGTCACACTCATCTCTACACACTATACTCTACACTCACTGTCACACTCATCTCTACACACTCTATACTCTACACTCACTGTCACACTCATCTCTACACACTCTATACTCTACATTCACTGTCACACTCATCTCTACACACTCTATACTCTACACTCACTGTCACACTCATCTCTACACACTCTACTCTACACTCACTGTCACACTCATCTCTACACTCTCTATACTCTACACTCACTGTCACACTCATCTCTACACACTCTATACTCTACACTCACTGTCACACTCATCTCTACACACTATACTCTACACTCACTGTCACACTCATCTCTACACACTATACTCTACACTCACTGTCACACTCATCTCTACACACTGTATACTCTACACTCACTGTCACACTCATCTCTACACACTCTATACTCTACACTCACTGTCACACTCATCTCTACACACTATACTCTACACTCACTGTCACACTCATCTCTACACACTCTGTACTCTACACTCACTGTCACACTCATCTCTACACACTCTATACTCTACACTCACTGTCACACTCATCTCTACACACTCTTTACTCTACACTCACTGTCACACTCATCTCTACACACTCTATACTCTACATTTACTGTCACACTCATCTCTACACACTCTATACTCTACACTCACTGTCACACTCATCTCTACACACTCTATACTCTACACTCACTGTCACACTCATCTCTACACACTCTATACTCTACACTCACTGTCACACTCATCTCTACACACTCTTTACTCTACACTCACTGTCACACTCATCTCTACACACTCTATACTCTACATTTACTGTCACACTCATCTCTACACACTCTATACTCTACATTCACTGTCACACTCATCTCTACACACTCTATACTCTACACTCACTGTCACACTCATCTCTACACACTCTATACTCTACACTCACTGTCACACTCATCTCTACACTCTCTATACTCTACACTCACTGTCACACTCATCTCTACACACTCTATACTCTACACTCACTGTCATACTCATCTCTACACACTCTATACTCTACACTCACTGTCACACTCATCTCTACACACACTATACTCTACACTCACTGTCACACTCATCTCTACACACTCTATACTCTACACTCACTGTCACACTCATCTCTACACACTCTATACTCTACACTCACTGTCACACTCATCTCTACACACTCTTTACTCTACACTCAGTCACACTCATCTCTACACACTCTATACTCTACATTTACTGTCACACTCATCTCTACACACTCTATACTCTACATTCACTGTCACACTCATCTCTACACACTCTATACTCTACACTCACTGTCACACTCATCTCTACACACTCTATACTCTACACTCACTGTCACACTCATCTCTACACTCTCTATACACTACACTCACTGTCACACTCATCTCTACACTCTCTATACTCTACACTCACTGTCACACTCATCTCTACACACTCTATACTCTACACTCACTGTCACACTCATCTCTACACACTCTATACTCTACACTCACTGTCACACTCATCTCTACACACTATACTCTACACTCACTGTCACACTCATCTCTACACACTCTACTCTACACTCACTGTCACACTCATCTCTACACACTCTATACTCTACACTCACTGTCACTCATCTCTACACACTCTACTCTACACTCACTGTCACACTCATCTCTACACACTCTATACTCTACACTCACTGTCACACTCATCTCTACACACTCTATACTCTACACTCACTGTCACACTCATCTCTACACACTCTATACTCTACACTCACTGTCACACTCATCTCTACACACTCTATACTCTACAATCGCTGTCACACTAATCTCTACACACTCTATACTCACTGTCACACTCACTGTCACACTCATCTCTACACACTCTATACTCTACACTCACTGTCACACTCATCTCTACACACTCTATACTCTACACTCACTGTCACACTCATCTCTACACACTCTATACTCTACACTCACTGTCACACTCATCTCTACACACTCTATACTCTACACTCACTGTCACACTCATCTCTACACACTCTATACTCTACACTCACTGTCACACTCATCTCTACACACTCTATACTCTACACTCACTGTCACACTCATCTCTACACACTCTATACTCACTGTCACACTCACTGTCACACTCATCTCTACACACTATACTCTACACTCACTGTCACACTCATCTCTACACACTCTATACTCTACACTCACTGTCACACTCATCTCTACACACTCTATACTCTACACTCACTGTCACACTCATCTCTACACACTCTATACTCTACACTCACTGTCACACTCATCTCTACACACTCTATACTCTACATTCACTGTCACACTCATCTCTACACACTCTATACTCTACACTCACTGTCACACTCATCTCTACACACTCTATACTCTACACTCACTGTCACACTCATCTCTACACACTCTATACTCTACACTCACTGTCACACTCATCTCTACACACTCTATACTCTACACTCACTGTCACACTCATCTCTACACACTCTATACTCACTGTCACACTCACTGTCACACTCATCTCTACACACTTTATACTCTACACTCACTGTCACACTCATCTCTACACACTCTATACTCTACATTCACTGTCACACTCATCTCTACACACTCTATACTCTACACTTATTGTCACACTCATCTCTACACACTCTATACTCTACACTCACTGTCACACTCATCTCTACACACTCTATACTCTACACTCACTGTCACACTCATCTCTACACACTCTATACTCTACACTCACTGTCACACTCATCTCTACACACTCTATACTCTACACTCACTGTCACACTCATCTCTACACACTCTATACTCTACACTCACTGTCACACTCATCTCTACACACTCTATACTCTACACTCACTGTCACACTCATCTCTACACACTCTATACTCACTGTCACACTCACTGTCACACTCATCTCTACACACTCTATACTCTACACTCACTGTCACACTCATCTCTACACACTCTATACTCTACACTCACTGTCACACTCATCTCTACACACTCTATACTCACTGTCACACTCACTGTCACACTCATCTCTACACACTCTATACTCTACACTCACTGTCACACTCATCTCTACACACTCTATACTCACTGTCACACTCATCTCTACACACTCTATACTCTACACTTATTGTCACACTCATCTCTACACACTCTATACTCTACACTCACTGTCACACTCATCTCTACACACTCTATACTCTACACTCACTGTCACACTCATCTCTACACACTCTATACTCTACACTCACTGTCACACTCATCTCTACACACTCTATACTCTACACTTATTGTCACACTGTGTGTTTTGTGACGTTTGTGCTTCTTGTGCAGATGAGATCGTGGGAACGCTCGGGGAGGGAACCTTTGGGAAAGTGGTGGAGTGTATCGATCATCACAGGTTAATCTCACACACACACACACACCTGACTGATTCTCAGCTGACTGTCACAGGTGTTTCACTGTGTGTGTGTGTGTGTCACAGGGGAGGCTCTCACATCGCGCTGAAGATCATTAAGAATGTGGAGAAGTACAAAGAAGCAGCTCGTCTGGAGATTAACGTTCTGGAGAAAATCAACCAGAAAGATCCAGAAAACAAGAAGTGAGTGTCAATACGAGAAAAATGTCACGCTTCATCTTACAACTTTTACATATAATTTAGTTTCCTATGGAAGCTTGTTTCCGCCATGGAATAAATTGTTTTTAAAAAGGTAATAACTTTTTATACAGTTTTCTCTCAATTGCGAGTTTATATCTTGCTCCTCTGAATTTATTTCTCGCAATTCTGAGTTTATAAATTAGTGAGTTTAGATACAAATTCTAAATTGTGTAATTAAAGTCAGAATTGTACGATAAAAAGTTGCTTTTTAATTATTTTTATTTATTCCGTGGCAGAAACAAGCTTTATGTTAAGCTTTAAGTTTTATGTGAATTTTACATCCGCCTTTAGAGATTACATACAAAAAACATAGAATACTGGTTTAATAAAAAGTAAAGTATCCTAACACCATTTTTACATGATAATGTATGTTCCTTCCCCAATTCAGTGCTAATATAATTAGTTTTACATTTAAAGTCTCCCTGTAGTCAATCGTTTAATCCCTTAAAACTCATGTTTGATCACCAAAAGATCACCCTAACCCATATTTAAACGTTTTTTCATTGAATATGTCTTGAATGTATCTCGACACCCTTGCCTCATGTAGTATTCGCGGTTCTATGAATATGCAGATGAGCCCCGCCTCCACTCACTCACTCACTCAGCTCAGAGATCCACTGGTTGACGATCACACGTTGATCTGATTGGTTACAAGGTCGTTTGTGACGTCAGAAACACCAGCGATTTCAAACCGTGTTTTTGAGACTGTCTTTGGTTCACTGCAGTTTAAAGCAGGAAATACTCAGCAATGCTGTCGACTTATGAACTTACACACGGTTTGTCTTAAAGCGTATTAAAAACACCCCATAGACACATAAACTACATTAAACGCTGGATTTACACCACAGGGGGACTTTAATTTCTTTACCATTATGTTAGTCTCGAGTCCAACAGCTTATAATGGGTTTTTCAGCTTTTCCCCAAAAGACAGCAGCAACACACATCTGTTACTTTCCAAATATAGCGTTTTATTTGTGTATTAACCGGACCTCATGTTTGTCCCGTCAGTCTGTGTGTGCAGATGCTGGACTGGTTCGACTATCATGGGCACATGTGCAT